CACATGGTCTCTATTGCAATTATCAATGTGACCCTTATTCCCTACTGAAATCCCATGAAGCTAGCCTTTTCTGTCCAGTTTTACCAACATGCTCTTTTGAGCTGTAAAAATAAGTACCTCTAAACAGTTTTTGTAGAACTGACAGTTTGTCTACTCTTCACCTCCCTCTTATGTTCAATGTATCCACAGTTATTACTCCAGTTCTGGTACCAATTTTTGTTGCTACTGTTGCTTTAGTCTCTTTCCTCTTTTGGTATACAATGCCTCACACCAGTAGCTTAATGGAAGAGATGTTTATTCTTGCTCACAATTTTTGAGAATTCAGTCTGTGATTGACTGACTCTAACTCAGAAACTATGTGATGGATGTTCATATCATAGGAAATCTGCTCAAGAAATAGAGAGGAAGTACTGTATGGAATGTGACATGTCACCTTCAAGGTCATGCTCTAAGGCTTCCACCTCTCAGAACAATGATTCCCTTCTGAACAACACATTCAACTGTAAATTCGTTGTTAAGTGTTTTGTCAATGAAAAAAGAAGTCAATGAATTTGAAATAAAATTCATATCCTACTTTGAGTTGTCCTGTGCATCATATTGCTACCAGCAGGTTATTCTAGAAAATGAAGCTAAGAGGTTCATTGGTTGTTACTTTCACTTAGTTCTCAGCAGCACCTGACAGTAAAGCCCATCTGGAAGTGTCTCTCTGAAAAGCCCATAATGTTGCGTCCCTGGCACAGGGCATTGCTTAGGAAGTGGCAACTCTGATTTCTGTTCAGAGACCAAAGGAAGTTGGATGACTGATGTTGCATACATCAGTGGTCATCACCATCTCTACCTTCCTCATCATTATGAAAATATAATGTTATAAACTAATGTTCAGAATTTTTTATGAGAAGAATGTGGATTACTTGCCTTCACCTGGTGGATCATTTTTCTTTCTGGACTGTTTTTGCTATATGAGGAGCTCTTCACTTCTGCTATGTTTTTTCTTTTAGAGCTTTGCAGTTATTGTCAAAGAATTGAGATGAATCAGTAGTCTCATAACTTGTTATAGAAGCTCTTTGTCTAAGCAGGATGGATGCACTCACTTGCCAGTCCATTAATCTTAACAATGATCAAGATAGGCAGATGGATCAGCCTCACAGAGGTGGAAGAAGTTAGTGTTAAGCAAATGTGGCTTTAGCACTACATACTATATTCATTAATAGGTTAACCTGATCTGATTCAGCTTTCTCAGTGCTAAAAATCAGTAGTTCTGATCCCAGGTTAGGCAGATTTTAAAAAGCATCTCTTCAGGGAGAAGCTATAAAACATATCATCTAGACCACTTTAATGTGTATTATATGGTATCACACATGGCTTATACTTTGCCTCTGTGTTACAAATTTTAACATCTAGGGAAGCGTTGAGTTCAATTTTATATGAACAGAATGATGAGAACATGTGCCTTTTTATCAGGAAATATTCTAAGAAAAGGCAACACATATCCTTATCAGAAAAGACACACTGTTAGATGTAAGATGAAGTAATGACTGTCACACCCTTGTTCCCTAGTTATATGCATTTAAACATCTTGAGAATCATTTACCACTTAACCTATGGTACACTAGAAGCAGAACGCAGGGAGGAAGCATATATTCTTTATGGTTAAGTAGTATCCCATTCTGTAAAACACATACATACATGTGCACACACACACACACACACAAAAAAAAAACAAAACAAAAAAAAAACACACACATCTTTTTTATCTGTTCATTGGTTGATATGCATCCAGATTGAACCCGAGATTTAGCTATTACAAATGTGCTGTGATATACGTGGGTGTGCCTGTATTAGTGAGGCATGGTCTTTTAATTCTTCTAAGAAGAAAAAAAGAGGAAGAGTGTAAACAGAAACAAAATGTAAAATACATTTTGTGAAAACAGAAGGAGTTGATCAAAGGAGAGGGGAACTAGGGAGAATGGGTGCGAAAGGGATGAAGTTAAAGGAAAAAACTAAGAAAAAAAGATAAAATGGAAACATAAATTTATAAATAAGAAAAGGAGTTGAAGAAAGAGGATAGGAATAGTGGAAAAAATGAATCAAGATATACCTTGCACAGGTACAAATTTCCTAAAATGAAGGTGGTCATTTTGTATATGTAAATTGGGCCAATGAACTTAATCAAAAAGGAAAAAAAAAAAAAAAAAAAGACCCAGAGAGCAGCCTTGGCTTTCCACAATGTGAAACACAGGATCCATCTATAAGCCTGAAAGTACCTATCAACAGACACCAAGTCTCCTAAGCCCGTGTTCTTAGACTTGAAAGCCTCTGGAATTATGAGAAATAAAGTTGTTATCTATAAGACAGGTACTCTCTTCAGTGATCCATCTTTTTAAAAAAATTCCCACATTTTAGCAGCATATTCAGTTATGAACTCAGCAATGACTCATCTACTGATTATCGGTATGATATCCCATGATCCAGTCAACTTCCAGAAGCCTCACTTGGGATACATGTGACTTGCAGTCATTTTAACTGTAAACCATAGGACAGATTCCCTAATGACTGACATGGTTATCTGTAGAGCTGAGAATGATTTGACCCAAAGTCTTACAAAATGAAAATCAATTTTTGTTTTGTCATAACCTTGGCAGGCCCAATTTATGAGTTATGGCATTTCCTCTTTGACTGCATCTGATGAAATGCAAATCATGCCTTTGGTGAATAGCAGGTTTAGGGCACAAGAATTTGTTGGTCCTTTGTGTTTAAAGAAGGTTATTTGAACGTGTAAGGCCTTCTCCCTGAGCATGCACATCATTCACAAGGGGTTTCTTCTATCTGTCAATTGTCATGCTGTGGCCTCTAGATTATGAAAACAATTAGGGCATTCCTGAAACAGTCTCAGTGAGCAGACTGACCCTAAATCAACTTCAATGAGCAACCTTGGAATTCAGAGCCCATATTAGGCACAACAGAGTATATATATATCAAGTGAGAGACAACATGAGAAGCATTGATTTACAGATATCTTAAATATAAAAGATAATATTTGAAAATGAGAATGTATATTTTATGTTACTTTTTGTATTTCTCATGAAAGCAGCCACCTGATAATAAAACCATCAGGCCCCTAACTTCTTGGAAATGTAATCCCCCTCTTCCCGAAACCCTCTCTCTTTTCCTTTCCATCTCTGTCTTCCTTCTATTCTCCCTGCTCAGTGGTCTTTCCTGTGCATCTTCCCCCTCTCCTTGTGCTTTTGAGACAGGGTCTACCATGAAGATGATACCAGCCTGCCAGTAATGATCATTCTGCTTCAGTGTCCAGAGTGGTGAGGTTAAGGGAGTTTAGAGGGTTTTGCTTGGCAAGGATGCAGGAATAAATTTATAATCCTACTCTGAGATACTGAGGGAGGTGAATAAACAATGTGAACATTGCTAGGTAATTTAGTGCCATATGAAGGCAATATTCAAATTAAAAATTAAACAATGTCTTGTTGTATAACACATTGTGAAGCCACTGGATTCAATTTGAAATCTTACTAGAAAAAAAAAATGAAAAGAGGTTTGTGCTTTAAAAGGAGCCCTGCACCTAGGATTTTTACTTTTTTAAAGAAATAATCTGTTTCTTAGGTGATAATCTATATTTTCCTTTGTTTTATCAAACATATTATTTGGTTTTATTAATATTACCAGTTGATGACTCCAGTCTGGATTACTACTTGGTCTATTTCTCAGTATTCATTTCGAGATATAGGTCTCCTTTACTGGCATGCATGATAATTTGAACTGAAAGTGTGGACAACAGTATCTTTGTTGAGAGAGGATTAATGTCCCTTCAGCAAAGACTGAACAGATCACTGAGAGGAAGCAGAGCTGGGCTTGTTTTCCATCTGTCCATGTATCCAGAGCACAGCCTTTCAGAGCTCAGACACTGCTGAATTATTTTCTCAGATATTTTCCAGTATTCTTCTAGCAACTTCTTTCTGCTTGGTTTTCCTGAAGTATTCTACATGCAGGTGCAATTTGCCTCTACAAATATCAGGAAGGGAAATTACGAGGTGCTGAGTTGGGTTCAGAGATACCCCTTTTTTTTCCAGATTTTTGATTCTACTTTTGCTTCTGGAAGCTTTGGTTTCTCTCATCGGAGAGCTTTTCCTACGCAGCTTCTCATGGTGTATCTGCCTCTCAGTGATTCTTCTCATGACCATGATTTGGTTGAAGGTGTTAGTCAAACATACATTCATAGAAAGTACTGCAAGGATGACTTTGGCTTTTAAAAATGAGAACTATTTTATTGCAGATTACATTTCAATCCTGTTTTAGTAGCTCTTTTCATGTAATATTTAGTGTGGACAATTCTCTTTACAGGGCATTCTGTAACTTACTTCATAAAACATTGAAAACTTTTATAAATTGCATTCAGGTTCAGAATCTTGTGATCTTTGTAGGATTTATTCCTGGATCATCTTAATTTTAATTCTATATCTTTTAGAAATTCAATAAAGTATGTTTACCAATTAAGTGAATGATTGTGTCTTTGAAAATCATTTTGTGATTTACCATCTTACTTGATTGAAAGCATATAACAATCACAAGTATAACATAAGCACGTAGAAATTCAGAGAAATTGCTTCTTTTACTGAATGACTCACTAAATACTTTGGATACTTACAAAGTTATAAATTCCCAAAGTAAAATAAAATGTGGGAGGTATGATGATAATTATGTAGTCTTTCTCTGAATACAATGTGTACTCATACTCTGCTGTTCAAGCTAGATTAGTTAAACATTAGATCTAATTATGTCTTAGGAATAAGACAATAGAATTCTATGTATTTAAAGATGCATATTTCTCTCATCTTAAGTATCAAAGTAGTTGTGTATGCTGTTTATTGGAAAGGAATTTTCTTATAATGATGCATTTTGCAACACACTGATTTAAATATACTACCTAGGGTTTATAATCAAATGAAATGGGATTTACCTAAGTCTTGCTTTTCCTTCTATAACAGAGGAGAACTCTCCAGATGTCCTCAAGTAATGACCAGTTTCACATCCCACCGTCACAAAGAAACACTGGTGGTGTCTCTGAGATGATTCCCAGTGACATGAAGTTATATATTAAAGGGGCTGTGTTAAGTTTTCATAACATCTCCTACAGAGTAAAAACGAAGAGTGGATTTATGCTTGGTAAGAAAACAGTGGAAAAAGACATACTATCCAATATAAGGTATGTGTTTCATCTGTACTTTGTTGATCTACACCTTAATTATATGTTTTACATATTACCACTAATGTGTTGTGAGCATTTGTGTCCTTGCATATGTACCAATATATAGGTATATAATTTCATTTCTTTAAGGTAACCTTGGAACACAGTGATGGAATGACTTTTCTTTTATCATCAAGACATTTTAAAAGAATGATTTGCTAGTTTATAACAAAAGATTTTAGGAAGAAACAAATGTGGTATTTTTAGATCTCTTATTTTTGTGGCTTTTTAAGATTAAAAGTAGAAGACTTCAGATTTCTCACTTCTTTTTGAAGGTATCGTCTACCATCATTTTGGTCAGTTGATAGTTTCCTCTATGGCCATGCCTTGAGCTGAAACAATGTAGCTCTGTCTAGGACTGGTCTTGTGGCTGCAGCCAAGACACAGAATCTACCTCCAGTGGCTGTTAGTGCTTCTTGTCTTGTGGAAAACTTGCTGGTGACACCCTGCTAACAGTTCTATATTCATATTTTTTTCTTTAAACTCACTGATAAATTCCTTATTCCTTTGAATTTGTCATCCTTGGGTTCACTGAGTATCTTATTGCTCTTTCTGTTTTCTCTGTTATAATTATGTATGTTTCGACCTTTGGGTATATGATTTTCTCTCCATAAATGCCATTGGATAAGCTATTGGGGAATTAGTTGTCTTTGGAGGCATTTGTTGCCTTGCTTTTACTTGTTTCTCCTTTCTCTCTCTCTCTCTCTCTCTCTCTCTCTCTCTCTCTCTCTTTTTCTCTGTCTCCCTCCTTGTCTCTCTTCTCTTTCTTTATATCTCCCTCTCCCTCTCTGTCTCCCTCCACTGTGTGTGTGTGTGTGTGTGTGTGTGTGTGTGTGTGTGTGTGTGTGCTGAAAGTACGTGGTTAGCGGGAATGGAGACTTTCTGTTGGTAGCAAGGAAACCTTATTTGGTATTGCCTTTTTCCCTTTGTTATGGACTTTGCTTTATTCAATTTTTGATAGTTACATAGATTTTAAATCTATTCATGCAACTAGGAATAGATACATAGATACAGTCTCTGTTTCTTATGGAGAAAATCCTTACTGATGATATAATATCAACAGATTCAATCATATGTCACTCATTTACATTAAAATTTGTTTCAATAATTTCACAGTTTCTCAAAGAACCACAAGGAATATACTAACATACTATCCATGGCAGGTAGACTGGGATTGGGGAGGGAGAGAAGGGAAATACAGAAAAAAAGAGGATATATTATAAAAAAGAAAAGGAGAAAATAGAAATAATACTTGAAAGAAAGAGGTAGGTTGATCATCGTTTTTATTATTTATAAATTAGATGTCTGGTGGAGTGGAGCTTTAGAGTATATTTGTGTGAGCACAAATGACAGAGGGAGCGTTCTGTAATTTGACCTTGAGGGAAGCTTTGAAAAGATCTGACCTTGATTAGATAAAAAGGCTGTTCAGGTCTTATATACATAAGTTTCATGTGGGTTACACTGATATTCCAACATAGGCATTATTTAGGTTTAAGAATTAGTTGATTTTCTTCTCTTTCTGCATGTACTGACACTTCTTATATACAATAAGATACATAAAATATATATTACATGTTACATGTATATTAGATCAATGAGGTAAAGAAAATGGGAAAATAAAGAAAAAGAATCTAAGAAGAAATAAAGGCAAATGATTAGATGCACACAGTTGCAAAGCACTAAAGTAAAGCATCCTCACAGCACTCCATACCTTCCAATATGAGTCCGATGAGTCAGCTCTTCTCATGAATTTTTGGGTCTGAGTATTTCTCACATTTCTGTCCTCTATAAAATGCCACAAAATGTTTCTTACAGTCCTTCATCTACAGGTAGATCCTCCTGGTTTCTTGGCTGGTTGCACTATTATAAACTGTTCAATTCCCTGCCTTTGAGTGCACATGCCTGTCTTATGCTCACTTTAGAAGTAGATACCAGAAAGTTACTAGAAAGGGTGATGCATGTAAAGCTATAAATAAATAAAAGTTGGTTTTTGAAGCATGTTTTTACATTGGTGGCCAGGACAAGGTGACTCAAATATAAAGTGAATTTTCTGTTATGACTAGTCCAGGTTAACTAAAATTTCATTGTTTATGTCCAAACTTTCAGTAAGAGGTACCTCAGTCAGTTAGCTATACCAAATGCACATTTCACCTATCCTTCTACTTGCCATTTAATAATTTTGACAGTTCGGACAAAATGGGCAAAGAAAATAATGTCTATTACAGTCATAGTGAAACTCTACCCATTCTAGGATGGAAGTGTCTGATAAAATCAAATTACCAACAGGTCACAGGCTAATATCGTAAAGCAATGGGGCTGGGACCTCAGTATTGGTCTGTGCTGCTGGCAGATAACGTGTTCAGCAGAGGCTGTCTACCAGATCAGCTTTTGTGGTTGCAGTGTTGTTGAATCCATGGATAAGCGGCTCAAACTCTCATTGGTGGACTTACAAAGTAGCATAAACCAACGCAGTATTTGACATAGCCCTGCTTCTAACTGGGCAATACACTTCAGAGCCAGTGGGTGCAGCAATGTGCTCATACTTGTGGACTTCACTTCTCTGGTCTTGCCCCTTATTACAGAGCAGCAAGTGGATTGGTATAAAGGTGTAATAGATTTTTAAGACACAATGAGAGTGACAGTAAAGTAGAAAAATATTGTAGTACTGTGGGAAAGATTTTCCTGAATGCTGTGCATACTTTGAATAAGTATACTATAATTACTACCCTTTTTCCTATAGTCAGGAGTCATTGTTCACTTAATAAAGAAGTAGAAGAGCAAACAGCTTCTTTCACCATTACTCTTAGTGATAAACTAGCAAAGTTTTGCTTCCTGTTCTTGCAGTCTGATGCTCAGTGGATCTAGAGTTCTTCCAGACGGAGCAATGATTGAACAAGAGAATACAACAATGATTCCATTGAACTGGAATAGATGGTTTTACTCTAATTATTTTGTATATATTACACTGAATCAACCAGATTTTAAAAGGATATATGGTGTTTGGAGGGAAGATTGATCCAGTATAAGAAGGAGAAATTGGATTTTACCTCCACAATGGTTGTAAAGGAAAGGATATTTGGAGTACATTTGGAGTGCAGGAGGCCACTTAGGGTTCCAAATATTACCATGCAAGTAATTCAGATTAGTGAGCATCTTAGCTAATTTCTCATCACTGAAACCCCAAACTCAACACTGAATTATCAACAACTTCCAAGAATAAATCTCATGGTAGTGGGAAAAGTGGAGGAAAAACTGCTCAAATCATAGCTATAAAAAGCCTAGAGAGAAGAGACAGTGAGGAGGTTGACATGGTGATGTATCTTTCATGGTGACTCTTTCAGTGATACTTTATCCACAAGACTCTATCTCCTAACAAGAAGTCAGGTATAGCACTCCCATGATTCCACCATGATCTAAACATTCCACCACTGAACACAAGAGATTTCTGCAAGTCACTGAAGATACAAATTATAGCGATGGGAAACCATGATACTCAATGCATCATGGATGATAAAAACCCAAAACTTTCATGAAGTGTCACCCACCTGAACAACAAGCAAATCCCACTGAGATGTTTTCCGAAGACCAAAGTAATGGGTGGTAGATACAAGTTTTCAGTATCAGTGAGAAACACCAGCTAGATACAGAAGTATTGACTATAATTTTTATGAGTATATCCTTCTCATTTTGTTTATATATTTGTACATATTAACACATCTACAAAATAATCTTTTTTTCTTTCTTTGTAACATAATGTTTATTGGTCTTAAGCTTTCGTAAATCTGCAAGATAATACATAATTTAATGAATTCAGAATACTTTGTGTTCAATTCTAGCAGGGAGTTAGTGTGTTGTCTGGCAGAAAATTTATGCTACATTCAGTGAGTGTAATTAAGTACTTTTGATTATATTTGGAGATTAAGTATTGTTTAAGGAGATGCCTCTGATTGTCAAGTTTAGAAACAGTGAACTATTACTATCTACCATTGTATTTCAACTTGAATAAAAAGCACCTGAGGGAATTAATAAATTGCAGTCATCTCTGTGAAAGATTGACACATAAGCCAAAAATGTGAGTTTTGATGACCATACATGGATTGGAAGGTACAGAATTCAAAGGGAAAAAGGAACTGTTACCTTTATTGCTTTTTCCACCACTCTTCGCCATTGATTTTGAACACTGGTCTCTACTTTGTTCAGCATTCTACTCAGACTCCTGAGCTTTTCCATGCAGACTCTGGCCTTCAGACAGAAACTGACCCAAGTGACTTTACTGTGAGTTTTCAGGCTTCCAGCTCTGGCTGCTTCTGGATTCTCTGGATCAGCAGTACACAGAGAGCACTGCTGAAATCTCTTACCTCTGTCCTGCAGATGGGCTTCTGACTCTTCTATATCTGATCCCATAAATCAACCTAATACATTTTTTATATAATATGTATTTTTAAATCAGTTTTGTTTCTATAAAGAAAGTTTCCAAGGAATAAGTGGCTTTGAGAATACTATAGTGCCTCCCTCCATGAACTTAATTCATTTCACAATTTTGAACTCAAATAGGGTTTATCAAAAACAGAATCAAATTTCCCTATAAGGTTCAGTATAAATAAGATTAATCTCTTCTGACCCCCACTAATGCAGCTGAAAACAGATATTCATTGGAAACTGAATCAAATTTCCCAAAAGATTCAATGTAAATACAGCTAATACATCCTGAACAATATGTACTTTTAACCACAATAATATTTTTTAAAAGTACAATACAAGACACTGTGATAGGTGACAACAGTAATCTGACAATTCATTATTGGTCTGCACACATTTGACATCTTCCTCATGGCTATACATTTTCCCCATGATGCTTGCTCTGCAGTTTCCTTGGAGCTATGCTAGATCAAATAATACTGTATGTACTAAAAAGCTCACCAAAATGCTCTTTAGAGCAAGTGTATACAGTTCAGTCTGGAATCATGATCTCAACTAGTGGAAGCTCATGTGCCAGAGCACAGATATCTACATTTATGTTCCTGTGGAAAGAATGTTGTGGTCCTGTTTGTCACCCAGTGTAGAGTTCATGTAGTGAAGCAAAATTTTGCCAAAGATGAACCAAATTAGTCACAAACACAAGTGTTTGTGAACCAAAGTGTTCCTGTACATGAAAGTTTACTAAAGAGACCTGAGTCATTTTTATAGGATGTGAGTGAAAAATATCCTTAGTTTGTATTCTAAACTTCTGTTAATCAATTTTTTGTTTTAGGTTGATTCTTGCTTTCTGCATATAATTTCATCATACTGTATTTAGTGTACTCAATTAAAACTCAAAATTGGCACAATTTTATTTAATGTGAAGTAGTAAGTCAATATATTTTTATGCTTACAGTGGGATCATGAGACCTGGCCTCAATGCCATTGTTGGACCTCCAGGTTCAGGCAAATCTGTGTGAGTATAAAACTATAGATTACCATGTTAGTAGTTTCAATGCTCCTTAAAAAAATCACGGTTACATGAGCAAGGATTGGATCAGTATTTTCTGTGCACATCTGGTTTGGCCCTGGGTGCTGTGAATAATATTGTTAAGTTAGCTAGCAAAAGACTACCAAGTCTTATTGGTCAGGTTTAGGACTAAAATATTATAAAGTATTTGGTTTTCAGCAGCCAATTCTATAATGAATGGAGTATGAAAATAAATGGATTATTGAAATGGGACGATGTAATAGAAGTTGTATGTATAGTCAAGAGTGTTATGTAAAAAAGTGTATTGCCAGGGTTTTACCTCCAAATTCCAATACCAGGAAGATAATTTGGGAGATCTGTGCCTGATAAACAAATGATAACATTTTTATTTTGGGGTCCTTTCATGTATCCTATAATGAATGTATATATTTAGATACACCATAGAATATCTAGATTAGTTTTCTAACTTGAGCAGGAAGCATGATAAATATGGCCTGTGTGATAGGGATAAAAACCCCAAAATGTGTATATTCTTTTATAGATTGTTGGATGTCTTGGCTGCAAGGAAAAATCCTGAAAAATTCTCAGGAGATGTTTGCATAAATGGAAAACCTTATCCTGCCAATTTCAAATGTGATTCAGGTTATGTGTCACAAGTGAGTATTACTGGGTTTGCATTTTACATTTCCCATTTTTATATGGGCAATTGCCTTGGTTTATAGCTTGCAGCTGATTACAAAATCTGCATGTAGAACTAAGTTTCTTGAGACCTGCTTTTAATAATTATTCCTCAGATTTAGTGTGGTATTAAATGAAGATGCAGAGTGGATATGGACTTTTTCCTTTGTAGGACAGTGGCATCCATTGTACCATTTCCAACAGGGTCTAAAGCTATACTATCCCCACTTTTCTCACTCCCTTAACACTGTCCTTGAAAATTCATTGTAGAAAGTCTGAAAGTGGGTTCTACATCATGAGAGAGGAAAAACAGAGATAAAAACAGATACAAAGAAGACATGGAAATTGAGATTTTAAAATTGTGCTAAAAAAAAACCAGAGTTACACTTTTAAGAAAAACTGCAGCAAGACAGGGTTTTGTTTCCTTGCTTCGGTAGACCACCTCAATGGTGTACACTTCTTAGTCCTTACTGAAGTAATGGTAAGTTCAATTTTACAATGGCTTATAAAATTCAGGGTACCCGGCCTGCCCTTTTACTTACAAGCTACCTTTTCCTCCAGTCCCCAAAACAACAGCCTTAGCATGAGACTCTCTTAACTTGAATCACATGCACTGTAACCTGAGAGAGAGTGAAAATGTACATTGTAGATCACTTAGTTTAAAGATACCACTTTCCTCCAGCTTTGAATGTGTTCAAGTCTTTGAGTGTATGAACTTCTTTTAAGGGTCTAGCTAAAATCTGTAAAAGTGTCCTGTTCATGCTAGTTTCTAATGTGTGCTAAAAATCATGTTTCTGCAAGGGAATCAACAAAACACAAATCAATTTTAAGAAAGCAAGACAATCATAATTTCTGTACTGTCCTTGGGTGTGCAAATGTGGGTGAAACTTATTCCAATGTAATCTGCAGACCTCTAAAACGTAGATACTGTAATTTGTAGAATTGAATGTAGCTAGAGCTCTACTTCGGCTGTGTTATGTTCTTGGATAAACAGATGTGTTCTAGAATGATGAGTGAACTTAGAAAGGATTGGGTATGTCTCACTAAAATACCATTTGCCTTAAGGATGATGTTGTGATGGGCACGCTGACAGTGAGAGAAAACTTGCGCTTCTCAGCAGCTCTTCGGCTTCCCACAACCATGACCAATCATGAAAAAAATGAGAAGATTAATGAGGCCATTCAAGAACTAGGTCTGGATAAAGTGGCAGATTCCAAGGTAATGTGATTAAAACGAGTAAAATCATACCCACATATGACATCATGTGTGTGAAAATAGACACTTTCTTTATGTTTGTGAGCGTTGGCTTCCTGTAGAGAAGAAGAAAGCATCTCATAACTTCATAAGGACATTTAAATTAAGCTGAAAAAATTATTTAAGAATGGTTTAGTCCTGGGGCAGAATAAGCTGTAGGAAAGAAAACTTCCTCATGTAGTGGTTTTCAAATGCTCCTCACCCAGCTTCGCTGTTCTGGATCATTTGGTAATTTGGCACTGATTTTCTACTTGTGCTTTTCTTTTCAAACTTAGGAATTCATCTGTCTCTCCTTATTCCGGGGAAGTTTGTGCTGTTGCTTTTTGAAGTTTCATTTCTAGAATTGATAAATAATGTGTTTCAGGGAGTTTTGTTCAGCATATTTTACCTGGTGTAATTCTCAGGTTATATTTTTATGGCTTTTCCTCTTCTTTCCGCCCATGTACATTACTTTATTTTTACCTTTTTTTCCCCTCAGATTCTACTCTGTGAGGCTCATATTTTGCATTTACAAACAGACTTGTGGGGAAAAAGAAAGAAAGGGATAGAGAGAAAGATATAGAAAGACAGAGAGACAGGCACAGAGAGAGAGAGAGAGAGAGAGAGAGAGAGAGAGAGAGAGAGAGAGAGAGACAGAGACAGAGACAGAGAGACAGAGAGAGACAGAGAGACAGAGAGACAGAGACAGACAGAGACAGAGAGAGACAGAGACAGAGACAGAGAAACTCCCTATTTGGAGGGTTGTGTAGATCCATGAAGGGAAATCAAAACAATGTCCTTTCCAGTTGAGAACTCCTTTTAAAAGAAATCTTGTACAACTATTTGGGGTTTTAGTGAAAATGAACTGTTTGAATGATGATTGCTGTGCTTTAACCTTTTGTATGTCCTCTACTTCAGTCAGTGAAAAATAAGGGTTCTGCTAACTGCTGCTTCCCATGACACTTGCTGAAAGACTTTTGTGAACTCTTCTGGCTTGGAAAATAGCACTGCCATGCTACAATTTACCACATAATTTCTATTATGAACGATTCATTTTTCCTTTCTCTTGGGCTCTATGTTTTACTTGATTTTTCTTCTCTTACCAAGTACGTCCTTTTGCTCTGTTTTTAATTTTTTGTCTATTTATTGTCCTATATTAATCTGTGGGATTTTCAAAAAAGATTAAAAGAAATTATTGATATCTTAAAATTCACATAATATAACTGATTTCAATTATTATATTTTTTGAATTTTTATGATATTATAAACATAAACTAGAAAATTCAGAGAAAATAACCTACTTACTTCATTGATAATATTGTACGAAACCAACTTTTTTTTTTTTTGTCTTTTGGAGACAGTGTCTCACTCTGCAGTTCAGGCTGGCCCTGAACTCACTCTGTAGCCCAGGCTGCCCTCAAGTTCACAATGATCTTTTTGCCTCAACCTTGTAAGAGCTGGAATTACAGGTGTGTGCCATCACATCTGACTAATATTTCACATAATAATTTAAATTAGACAGGATGACACAAAGTTTTTCACCAAGTGGTAGTAACTGTGGTCATTCTTCCGGTCATATTTTGTATTAGGTTGGAACTGAACAAATCCATGGTGTGTCCAGGGCAGAAAGAAAAAAGGTCATTATAGCCATGGAGTTGGTAACTGATCCTACCATCTTGTTCCTGGATGAGCCCACAAACGCTTTAGACTGGAGCACAGCACATGCTGTCTTTTTACTCCTGAAAAGGTAACTGCTATGAGACCTGTGCTTTTATTTATTTAATATCTGGTTACTTCTGTGCACAAGATGTTCTTAGTGCAGACAATGCAACAATGAAGCAGCAGAAGATCTTCTATTCTTGTTAGAGTGGAGCAGTCAAGAAACACAGCACTGTTATCAGGAAAGACAGAAGACAAGCACAGGGAGGGGTGGCCATGGAGATTGTGAGTGCTGACTTGAAAAGCGGAGGATTAGAGAAGAACTCAATACTGTGGCAAGTGAGCTATAAGCAGGGAAGTGAGAAAAGGCAGAAACCTTCAGAAAGAGTCTAGTTGAAGGGACAGGCAGTGTCCCCATGGCCAAGCCAGCGTGGTGCATGTGGGACGTTAAAGAGTACAGTAGGACAGAACCCAGTGAATAAGGCAAGTGGAGTTTGGCTAAGGTACTGTTATGACAAACTGCCATTGGTGGCTTAACAATAGAAATTTAATTTTTTACAACTCTGGAGCTTGGAATTCTGAGATCAAGGTGTCCATAGCATTGTTGTTCTGAATACAGTGTCATTGCCTTGGAGATGACCAAATTCTCTCTCTGTGTATCTGCCTGTGTCATCATCTACTTTTAAATGGATCCTATCCACCAACTCAGTGCCCTGGCTTAATGTTAATTGCATGAGGAATGTGGAGTCATCATTATTTCTAGATCCATAGTAGACAAATGCAAGAAATGAACATTTATGAGTGTATGTGTGCATGTGTGTGTGGGCATGTGTATATATATACACATATATGATGGATTCATTTGGACAATAAATGCATTTTATATATTTGATTCCTGTTTGCAAAAAGATGTATGTACATACTTATACTTTTTGTGTATGTTGTGCTTATAAATGTTGTTTTCTCAAGGTAGAATAATTAATATAATCATAAAATACAATAAGATTTAATATTAAGTAGGTAATTATTGGCTAAATGCTGAGTTTACATACTACATCAGTGAGTATATTTTCAGATTATATGGGTGGTTCTTAACAATCTGGACTCCTTGAGCACAGCATAGAAATTCTAATTCAGAGCCTAGAAAGACTGTTCAAGACTTTCATTTTAATAAGGCTTATCATGGATTGTATGCTGGTAATATACCATCATTTAAGAAATCTTTGAATTTTTAAAATGAAACCATTTAAGTTAGCATTAGTTAACAAGATGAGGCTCAATGGAATATTTATAAGAGAAAATCAAGTTGAGCTGGGATCAAATGGTCTAAATTCAGGAAAAGTATATTTTATCTGGAACATTCAAGTCTATATGTGTAATGATTGCTTGCTTCCTCTCCTTTCCAGGATATCTAAGAAGAGACGAACAATCATCTTCTGCATTCGTGAACCTCGGTATTCCATCTTCAAGATGTTTGATAGTCTCACCTTATTGGCTGCAGGAAAACTAATATTCCATGGCCCTGCACAAAGGGCTGCAAAGCACTTTGCATCAGCAGGTATGGTTGAGTTGCATGAAGCAGGTGCCTGATGCAAAGAATCATGGAAGAGAGCACAGCAGGTCACAAGAGTGCTGTTTGATTTTGTGTAGATGATTCTTGGGTTCTCCACTCCGAAGCATCTTTGGACAGATTAGTATCAGAACTTTTCTATACTTTTAGCACTTGTGTGTAGTTTAGGTCCCTTTCCATTTCCTGTCCTAGTTGAGTACCTGTGCACATGTGTCTTGACTTGTGCTTGAGTTGCTTCCCAGGTGTGGTGACGTTTTCTTGAGAGTTTAGTAATTAGTGTGTTGGACTCAGCTAGCTGTTTGTCACTTGAACATGTCTTTTTTCGGGGTGGGGGTGGGATGGGCTGAGAATTAAAGGAAAGCTCGCCTACTGAACGACATGTCTAATCATTTTTAAAGTTTTACTTTGAGACAGGGTGTCTCACTAATACTCATTAAGTTGCCCAGCCTGGCCGCGAGCTCACCATTTTCCTATATTCTTTAATTGCTTTTTAATGTTACCATTTTTCTGCACTGATTCTACCTTACATTGAGTCAGGTGATTTCATTTTACTAGTACATAATCTCTGCTTATTGTTTTGTGATATTTTCATATGATTAGCGATGCTTCCCTGACCTCAGTACAATTTTAAATATTTACTAGCCATCTGTCTTAATATGATTTTTTAAATTTTTTTTGTCTATTTTTTTTTTTATCGGTACCGGGAATCAAACTCACAACTGCCTGCTTGCAAGGCAGGTGCTTATGCCGCTGAGCTAAATCCCCAGCCCCCTTAATATGACTTTTTAAAATTCATTTCATTTAAAAATAAATATGCATACTGTATAAGAATCTGTAGAGTCCATGGAAATTGAATTTCACTATCAGATTTCAAGCTGAGTTGAAATGATTGCACCAAAAGAAGTTGAGGACTGAGTTCAGGTGTGCTGTGTTTGTCATATTCTCTGCAGAATGCTGCTGTGGTAATTTCTTGTCTGTGTGAAGTTAATAATAGCGTGACAAATAAAAATTAGGCTTCTCAGGAAGTCATCATAACTATCATGTGTACTGCTGTTCCATTGATTCCTAGGGGAATTCAGCGATCACATACACTCTGGCACTAATGATTTTTCTTGATATACATGATATAGAGAGTCACTGAAGCATCACATACAATCACATACATTCAATGAGTCAGGAGAGAAGAAAAAAGTTGAGGGAGGATAAGTTTTTAGATTCTATGTTTACCTTCCTCACCTCACCTACCCTCTGATATGAATGTTTTTTTTTATTTCCAATGTCATCAGGTTTGTCTTCTTGGCTTTCCTTCTTTGTTCCATAGGTTACAACTGTAAGCTGTACACCAACTCTTCATGGATTTTGCTGGGCATTCCCAGTGGAGTCCTCACGGCCATGGAATCAAATGGAGATGATGAAGACCCTGAATGTATGTGTGTCTGTAAGACTCACAGAGTGTTACCTAACTGTAGTGGTTGAGATTTAGCAGTGTGATAACACATCTGAACAAGGCTTTGTAAATTCCTGTCAGTGTAGTCTCTGTCTCTGTCTCTCTGCCTCTGTCTCTCTCTCTTTCTCTTTCTTGTGCTGCATTGAACACAGGGCCTGTGGATGACAGGTGACCCTTTATCACTGGCCTCTATTCCTGAACTTTCTATAAATTTAATTTTGAGTCAAAGCCCAGGCTGGAATCCAACTAGCAGGGATCTTGCCTCAGTCTCCCTAGTTTCCAAGATGTCAGCTATAGACTATAATACCTAAATTAAAATAATGTTCTGATACCAGTCAAGAGATACATCATTTTCAATGAGTGCTATTCATGGTTTTGATTTCAATTACAAATGAGCATTCATAAACTACTATCACTTTTCAGAGGAATTTCCTTAAAAATAAATATTTGCATTTCTTGTTTTATGAGAAAGTTGTCAAAACCAGTTAGCCTCTTAGGGTAAGGTTAAGCAAGGCTTATGGTTAGGGTTAGGATTGGGATTACGGTAAGAGTTAAGTTTAGGTTAATCCTAAATGAAGCCTTTGTTTGTCTTTTCTTTTTTCTCTCTCTCTTTTTCTTTCTTTTCTTTTCACATTGGGTCTTGCTAACATTTCCAAGCTATTCACAAGCTAGAAATCCTGTCTCTTCCTCAAAGAGAGCTTAACCGTACATTATTTTTTAAATGAGAAACTTGTTGTCTTAGGCTTTGCACAGAGTAGAATTCAAGGGCTTGAGTGTCATGTTAACAATTATACATCAGTTCAATAATGTCTCTTTCTTAAGAAATAGTGCTGAAACAGAGAGTGGTCAGCCAATTTACTGTATGCATAAGGTTATGACCTTTAGTGAGTATAGGCATGAAAAATCTATTAAATGTGAACCTTTAGTGTGTATAATGATGAAAAATATATAGCTATAGATTGCTATAGCATTGAGATGCAATACAAAAAACAAGTCACAATGAAATTAATTCTTTTTTTTTTTTTGCTACTGGGGGTCCAACTTACAACCTCACCTTTGCCAAGCAGACACTTAAGCCACTGATCTAAACCCCCAGAATTAATCATTTCTTGTCCTTAATACTGTTTGTTTTCTTCATTCACTTTTATCACAAAGGTGAGAAGATTGAAGAGTTTTCCATAAGAGATGAGCCAATCATAGAAAATTTAGCTAAGTTCTATAAAAAATCATCCTTATACAGAGATACAAAGGCTGAAATAGATCAACTCTCAGAAGGTCAGAAGAAGAGGAACTCAGCTTTCAAGGAGTTCATCTATGTCACCTCTTTTTGGAAGCAATTCAGATGGATTAGCTGGCGCTCATTTAAAAACTTCCTGGGTGATCACAAAGCCTCTGTAACTCAGGTAACCTGAAGAATAGGTTTTGTTACGTGCAAAATAGATATGTGGGAAATACTTGGTTTTGATTTATTGTTCTTCAGGATTCATCTCCTACCCACTGAAGAGAGATCATAGTCATGTATTATCATTCACACTCTATCTGGCATATAGAAACAATGAATAGAACAAGAAAACACATTTAAATTTTTAATTCTTGAAAGCTTTTGTTAGAATGTTTCAGAATATTTAATACAAATTATGATGGAAAACCTAAGAGTTATAATTTTGCTTCAAAATATTTCAACTAATGGAAATACCACTAAATTTGTATTCTACTAACAGCCCTTCACTTTCATTCACTGATTCATTACAGAAAACCACTAGAAGGCCATGTTGTTCCTTGGGAACTGTAATATAATAAACAGTGAGCACAATGATCTTTGCTTTCGTGAACGTTATCTTCTTGTGAGGACTGAAACACTATAATTGAAAAAAATAAACAAAGCATGTCTAGTGAGAGAAGGAATTGTGCTGTAAGTCTGAGCGGTGCAGGGATAAGAGAGGAAGAACACGAAGATCAGAGGAGGTTTTTTTGTAGTTGAAATTGGTCAGTGAGTGATCCTGACACCTCTGATTTGACCTGGAGGAGTTGAGGGCTGTGCACTGCCTCAGTGGAGAACCTGCACCTCACATGCTATTCCTTATTGGTGCTATTTTATGTTTAGGATCCAAACCAATTGACACCTTAAAGACTTTGCAGTTTATAAACAGATAGGAGCAAAACTTCATAATCTCTTCACTAAAGTAATGTAATGTGCTTTTCTTTTTGCTGGTTCTTTGGATTTTGGTGACTATTATTTTTTATGATTTTTCTGTTATCCTTAACCTGATAGCACATAGACACTAGTTCTCCTAGTTTATTTTTCAATAATGTATAAGATAATCAATTTAGCTCATTGTTCTTGAGTCATTTTTATTATCAGTCAATGAGTTTCTACTCAGTATAAAGCGATTGTCTATTTTGGCACTAATGAAATATTAGACAGTACTTAAAATGCACACTGTAATTTTCATGTTGGACTATTATTTTTTATCAACTGGAAAGCCAATATTATTATTTGAGCCACTCTCTCAATTGCAACAAAAATTTCTGTTGCTTGCAATTTAGCATTCCTGTAAGAACACAGTCTTTTTGTTTTCCCATCAGTTGAGTAAATTTTTTTTTCTTTGAGAATAGAGTTGATGTCATTTGGAAACAAGTTTGATGATCTCTCTCTGTCTCTCTTTTTCTGTCTCTGTCTGTCTGTCTGTCTGTCTGTCTCTCTCTCATATATATATATATATATATATATATATATATATATATATATATAATTTTACCTGTTGTTACACTGAGCTGATGTAATGTGCTGATTTTTTTTATTTAAATTTTTTATTTGGAATATTTAGTGGTCACATACCTTATGGGGAGTTTTTACATGTGTAAATTCCTCAAACTCTAAACAACTCAATTCCTTTTCCACTCCTTTCCTCTTACCTCTCCTAGAATCTCCTTATGCTAATCCATCTCCCACTTGAAAAGTTCTGTCTCCCTGTTTTCTACTATCTATCTTCTGCTTTTCTTTTTGTTCATATTTTGGGGTTTTGACATAAGATAAACTATGCACTATTTAATTTTGTGTGTCTCATTTATTTCACTTAACACTGTGGTCTCAAGTGGACACTGTGTATAAATGATTTTATGGCATAGTAGTATTCTACTGTATATAAGCATTGTGTTTCCTTTATCATTCAATCTGTTGGGGGACCTACAAGGCCCACTTTCAAGATACAGCGATTGTAAATCATGCTGTTAAACACATGAATATGCAAGCATCACTGTAATGTGATGTTTTCACTTGTTTTAGAACCTTTCAGGGACTTTTTACTTGAGGGTTTTTTTTCCTTGCTCAAAAATCAGATATATATATATATATATATATATATATATATATATATATATGTATATACATTCCAAGACAAATATATGGTACCTTTGGGGAGTGCATGATTAAAAAATAATTACTTGCACACACATCAGGGCTTGTGTGATTTGGTGTTAGAGAAACTCATCTCCATAAAGTGAATCTAGGAGGTTCAGAGAAGCATCAGTCTCTAGAATAAACGCAGGACCTTGCATCTCTTTGAATTTTGCATGGAAATTATTGTTCATGTTTATAAATACTGGAATAGTAGAATAGCAAAAAGAAAATCTTTTGGACAGAGGACCACATAGTAAATATGTTAGGCTTCATAGATCCTATATGGTCTATTTTTTCAGGTCATGAATCCTGCTAGTTTATTGAGAATACAGTCATAACTAGTATGTAAGGAAATGAACAAGACTATGTGTTGACAAAATTTTATTCAAGGACACCAAAATTTGTGTTTCATATGTATATTTGTTATTGTAAGAAATATTCTTGATCTCCTCACATTATTTATTAATATTGGTAAAGTCCATTCTTAACTCACAGCTTAGCACAACTATATGAGTGACACTCTGGTCACTGGTTGATTTGTCACTGACCCTAGGGATAGATTCTTCATCTTTTGTGTTTAATATTTCTCTGTATTTTAAGTAGAATTTACTAATTGTTGTATTTGGCATTTACTAATTGTTGTATTTGGAAGATCTTGCCATGAATGGGTTATCTGTTTAAGGAGAATATTATTCATTTAATGTGCCATGGGTTTTTCTGACAAATCAACTTATCAGACATAATAGTTGATCACATGGAAAGTCCTTTCTGTTAGCATATTAAACATTTGCCTCAGGATTCCTTCTATTAGTGATAGCCATAAACATCCCTCAGAACACACTACCAGAAATAGTGACTAAATATCTTTGGATGGTAACATATTTATAGAGTTAATTTATCATGTTTCATCTACTTTTCAATCAAAAGAGGACTGAGACCTGCTCTCCAATAATTATAGTAGTATAATTTCTTTTGTTATGTAATCTTCAGTTTTCCTGGAGGCTTTTTGGTGACAGAATGAGTAACACAGTTGGAAATTATAAAAGCAGGGCTTTCTCAAGAAATCCACTGTGTTTTGCAAGTATCTCTGGAAACTGACTAAAATAGTTTAAGAACTTTGAAACCTGTGTGAAGCATCCTTTTGATAATAATGATTTTGTTGTTATATCATAGTTTAGATCTCATATTCTCCCAAAGTCTCATGCTTTCAGAAGTGGGATTTTAGACAGTGATTACATGATGGATTTTAGGAAGAGATTGCATGTTATAGCTCACTTGATGCTAGGAGATCTGAACTGATTTCCAGTGTGTCGTTGTGTCATGACTTGGAAGAACACACCTCCCTCTTTGCAGCCTGTGTTCTGTGTCTGTCTCCTGTCCACCATAACATGAGCATCTTTCTTCCACCCAGGCTCTTCCCCAACATAGTTTCTGTCTTGGAGCCAGCTAACTCTGGACTGAAACATCTAAAAATCATGAGTGGTTTAGAGTACTAAGTGTTGTGTTTAATTATGGGTCGTAGGTAACGTGTCCACTTGATGGGAAACTAGATAGGAAATGGCACCAGGTATCATGTTTCAGAGGAAAAAACAGAGGATGGAGAGTGTCAGGTCTGATGAACTTCATAAAATGTTTTACTCAACTAAAGTATAGGTTATTGTACACATGAGCAGAGTGCATGTTGATAAATCCATCACCATTTATTCTGGAAAGTTTTCTGCTGAAACAAAGAAGAATATGCTCAATGTGTAATGAAAATATGTCCAGATAATAGAATTAACCTCATGTTACATTTTAGTAGCAAGGGAATTTTTTAAAGTTACCTTGTGAGTTTAACATTTCAAAAATATCCTTCATAGACTACGGTTTTCACAAACTAGTCATTACAGATCATTATTCTGTTTTACTGTCTTGCCTTTTGTTAAGTTTTAAGCCCATTATAAATTATCTCATGTCTTGATACTGTTCTTATATTGAAATTTTTACATTTATGATATTTCCAAGATATACCGTAGTATATTTACATTTTTTAGATGATCATTTCTCATGTCTGTATGTAATCCATGAGTAAGTATAATTGGAATTAATGAATTCTCTTGTATCATAAAATAGTGCTGAAGCTTTAGCTAGCTGGTGGTCCTTCATAGACTTTTTAACTTAAGAGCAAAGGAGATGTTTGTGCAGTCCCTCTGGGAGCCATCCACACAGATTGAGTAGATGAAAGATGCAAGCACTGACAGCTCAGTTAGCTGTGTGGACCTCAGGTCTCAGGGGCAGAAGTTAATGGAGAAACAGTGACAGAGAGGGCTGAAGGCAGCTCTTCAATGTCCTAGGGAAAGCTAACTGAAACACTTGGTTAAAATGACAATTCCCTTTTCTATGCAATGCATGACTTCCTAGACATTGGATAACTGGCATCCTGTTCACCCATAACTCCTTACTATGGAAAATGCCATTGCGTGATTTTTAAAAAGTTTTTTATTCATTCAGTTTTTGGTATGAGGGATCAAACCCATGTATCACTCAAGGTTTACTAGAGAAGCAGATGTAACAAAGACATACAAATGTACAAGAAATTAAAAGATTGGATTACAATGAATGATAAGCCACAAAGTCGATTGAGGGAGCTCACAGAGGGTTCTTGCACCTTAGAGGCTGATGGGGTTCAGCCCAAGGACTGGAGCTTACTATGGTTGCCTGTGCAAGTTCATGTCAGGAAGTTGATAGGCTGACAGCAGAACACTGAAGAATGTACGATGGAAGGCTGAAGAGCCTATGATAAAGGCTGAAGAGTCCCAGGCAGAAGATGAATAGCCTGTGCCAGAAGCCAGGAGACAAGTGCAAACTGAAGGCGAAGACCTGCACTCCTCTGAAGAACCAGCAATCAGTCCCTCCTCATTTTTCTTTTATTGTACACAAGCTACTACCTTGGGATGGATATAGCACTCACATCATCTGTGTGAACTCCACTTGCACAGATTGAGGATATCGCAAACTAGGGGCCCTGGCCTCCTGCTGAATCCCTTAAAGTTCTAACCTCAGATTGACACAATGACAATATTCTAGAATTGTAACTCCTGTCCTCTCTATACCACATGATGTAGGGCTAATGAGTCACTTAGATTTGCTTCCAAACTCCTCAAGTTGACACATTTGAGCCGTAATTCTTGTACGTGCTAAGCAAACTCTCTACCTCTGAGGTATGTCAGAGCCCTAAAATTCTGTTTAAATTCATCTTGTTTCCACTTTTGCCTCTTTTAGCATGAAGCTGTACATGTTCACTTTCACTGGCAGAGTCTTTGATGTTAGATTAGCACACAGCTCTTAGCCATGCAGACTTTATTTTATTCCCACAAGCACCCCTCCAGTTGCCTGCATTGCTCTGTAACACTTCATGGCATTCATGAGCTCATCACTTGAGCTGTTCCCTGATCTGTTGATGCCTGGGAGGAAATTAGCTTTTCTTTCTCATCTCCTCTGTTATCTTATCAGCTGCTCAGACCATTCATAAGTTTTCACTTTAATGTAAGGAGCAATCTAATAGAGTATACTTTATATTATCATGAAACTTTGACCACAACTGTTAAAGTCTTTAGTTGATTGGTGATATCTATATCTTTGTGTCTATATCTATCTTAATAGTCATAATGTATAAATTTTTACTTCTGAGAAGTAATTTTGCTCTCATTGATTTTTTATTTTTCTTTTTGGAAAGATAATTAATGTAATTATAGAAGGACTGCTTATAAGTGCCTTTTTCCTTGGGATAAAAAATGATTGTGCTGCCATCCAGAATAGGTAAGTAAATTTATTTCTTAATTGTCAGAAATGTCACTTTGTTCAAGTGTATGTATGTACATTGAGAATTTTAATGTAAAACAATTACAGTATAATATTGTATTACTGTAGTGAGATAAATTGATTTGTGAAAACTGAATAAGACTGTTTATTCCTTTCATCTGTATGTATGTGTGTAGTTTTAATGCATGCACAACAAATATTTACAACTTTAACTATTTTAAATGCACAGTTCAATAGCATAAGTACATTCCCATTTATAGCTATCACCAGCATCCAACTCTACAAATGTTTTTTTATCTTTGTAGAAATAATTTCCATGTCTAGAAGAATAGTAGTTCTACATACAAACCTATCCTATCCAAACCCTCTATTATCACAATTTTTCTTTCTGTCACTGAATTTCATTACTAGGATATATATATATATATATATATATATATATATATATAGCTACAAATTGTGTGAACTGTGTGTGTGTGTGGTGTGTTGTATGCATGTGCATTTCACTAAACATATGTCCTCCAGTATCAGTGAAGTTTTAACTTGTCTCTGAATTTTATTCCTTCTTGATACTCAGTAATAATACATTGTGTTACCAGAAAATTAACTATTAGCAGAGATGATGCAGGAGATTTGTTTCTAATTGAAAATCAGTAAAGACATGATATATTTTCTTCACTTTCTTAATGATTAGCCATAGATGAGACACATGAAAGCTTGTGGTTCAAACTCTAGTTCCTATGAATATAATATTCTGTGAGCATTTGGAAAAGACCCACTTCTGGTGCATATTCTAGACCTCTGTTGATGTTTTAGAAAAAAATCACTGCCTCAACAAAAACAGAAATCCACCATTTTGGTACACCAAAATCTAGAGGTTCATCATTTTCCTTGTTAAAATAATACAATAACCTCAACTGAAGGAAAAATTATTCTCTGCAAGTCTCAACTCCGGGTAATGGGAAGACTTAGAAGTAGTGTCTTCCCTTTCGATCTCTCTCCCTCTCCATTTTTCTCAGAGCAGGTCTACATCCTTTGTTTCTGTTTGCTCAGTTGAATGTTGCGTCATTTTTGGAAACTGACCTGAGTGTGCTTAAATAACTGGTTCATTTTTATTTCTGCTCTATCTTGACAGACTGTTGATGTTCTTCTTATTGATGGAGTGTCTTTGTTTTAGTTACTTCTCTGCAACACAGCTCTTTCAAGAGGAGAAGAAGCTCTTCACGTGAGTAAGGCTCAGGTCTGGGAAGGGCCATCAGAGGATGTTGGGAAAATGGTTACATCCAGAATATGGCAAAGAGTATCATTCTGGACATTACTAGTGTTTTAAATTTTCTTTATTTAAATATTTAATTCATTTATAAATTGTGAATATTTCTCCTTTATAATATTAAATTTTAATGGAAATTACCTACATTTATTGAGAAAATGTAGCCAAGGACTGGGGAAAAATGGAGCCTTTGTGGGGCCTGATACCAAGTTAAAAGAGTTGTGAGTTTAGGTTCTATTCAGGTAATGCCAGTGTTGCACAGGAAGCAGTGATGCAGGGGCTGAAGGGTCTTTGGTTAGTTTTGTGAGGCTTGCAGGAGATTAAGCAGAACAACTCTCAGTAAATTGGATTGGAAGATAAAACTGACAAAGAATGTGACCAAAATAATATGAGATGGAGTGGAGAGAGCCAAAAATTTCTTTACACTAAAAAAGGCAATGACTTTGTTTCTTCTGTTTTAAAGATGGAAGGGATTTGCCCCTGTTTCCATACCAAGCAAAGGAATCATCAGAGGGAAGGAATGAAGAGAGTAGTGGAAGAGCTGAGAAATGTAAGAGAACGATGTCAAGGAGAAAGAGTAGGATTTGGTGGTTGACAGGATTCTGTAGCGTAGAGGTGTAATCACTAAAAGAAGTCTTTTAAAGCATGAGAGTTGTAGAAGTAAAACCAGATCAACGATCTGAAACTACATTTCAGATCTTAGACAATAACAATGTCACCTTTTTCATAATGAGAAGTAAGGTAAGAAAAGTCTCATGCCCCCTGAGAATAGAGCTTCAAGTGATATTCCAAGCATAAAGCCTGAAAGAGGAAGTGAAGTCCCTGAAGAGAGTGAAAATGAAGTACACAGAGTCCATATACAGGTGGAGAGTTCTGAGGACAGCTTGGATGACAAATGGAGGGATCCGTAATGAGAGAGGCTCACAGTGAGAGCCTCCTGTTGTTGATGTGCGGAAGTCCTGACATCAGAGAGCATGAAGTGGTAGCAGAGCGTGGGGATGCATGAAGCTCGCATATTATACATGTGACACCAGAAATCTATAGCGAAAGAACCTTATTTACTAGTTTCTTAGTTGTTAAATTATCAGGGATATGTAATCTGTGTTTTTCATCCACAGGCATGAATATATGTGTGGATACTACAGAGTGTCATCTTATTTTCTTGGGAAACTGTTTTGTGACTTGCTACCTAGGAGGTTGTTGCACAGTTTTATATTTAGTTTCATACTCTACGTCATAATAGGTAAGTAGCAAGACTTAGATGTGAAACCCTTTTCCTTTTGTCTGTACATTTACAGTTTTCAAAACTGAAAAACAAGATACAAGCTAGCAAGCATGTAACCTCCAGGCATGCACACTCTAGATTACCTATTCAATGTGGATGTTATTTCAGAGACTTTTTCAAAACAAAAATTATGAAACTATTTGTAGAATTAAATTTTATTAAGATGACCATTTATTTTTGCTCATACTAAATATGGAAAACATTTGTAAGGATTTTTGAGCCTGTCTCACAAAAGTTGGATAACTTATCATATACTCATTTATGTTTTATGTCTTTCAACATATGTCTAAATAAAAATTAAATTTAGATAGATACTTAATAACTTTAACATATCTGTATCTGTATGTCTATATCTATCTATCCAATTACATATACACAATTATAAAAATTCATACACATACATAAATACAGAGATATATTAGAATTTCAAAATACACATGGATCCTCTCCCTGTTTTATTGTCCAAAGAGAGAAAAAACTTATTTGAATTTATTGAATTAATGTAAATATTTGTTTCATGAATATATAAAACATCATTTTTGCAGCATATTCAGTTTACCACTGACTCACTACATACACACACACACACACACACACACACACACCAGAAATACACGTATGCATTTGTAACTCAGTAAGGGATATGACCACTTTTATAGCTTAAATATATCATTATATTAACAAGATGTGTGTCATAAAAGTTAGGAATATTATACAAACTCCTAGACTACTGCCTCCTATTAGTGTACCTATTTCACATTCTTCAGACTGTTTAACCTATAGCACCAGGTCATTATTGTTTACAAAGTAGCTTATGAAATTTCAATTTCCCATTCTCCATTGAAACATTTGTCACTAGGGATTTAAATTATGGCAGAATGTTTATTTTCTGAAGATAGTAAAACCACTCTGAGAACATGTTATTCTGATCCTAGTTTCTACACCCATGCAGTTATACCAAACAATAAGTACTGTGGAAACATTTGCTTAAATGAAAGTGCCATTGATGAGTTTCCTGGAAGAGAAGACAACAGAATTCTTAGAAGTTATGCTGTGTCTAAGTCTCTATCTCAGGATTATACTGATCGCAGGTGCTATGTGGAAAGTGACTTTAGAATATATGTGAATAGAAAACTCAGTGTTAAGTTTTTACATTTACATATGGGCGTCAATAAAATTTGTGAGTTAAAATAGTTGGTTAGATTGTTACTTTTTCCACTTTAATATTAGTTTTTCAGAATATTGTAATACTATTTGCACAGTAACCTATAACAAACATTTAACAATGTAGGCAGCAGAACGAATTCCTTCTTTTTTTCTGAAGGATTGAAACCAGCAGTTGAAGCTTTCTTCATTATGATGCTTACCATTTTGATGATGGCTTGTTCAATTGATTCTGTGGCACTGGCCATGACTATAGGTCAGAGTGTGCTGCTGCTTCCAATACTAACATTTCTCATTGAAAACTACTTTTGGTGCATGTTGGTGAGTAGGAACTGTGCATTTCTGACAGGGTAATTTTCTTCCATTATTCCTTCTTACACACTCACAGTCTTGGAAATCTTGCTCTGAGGATTCTGTACATGGGATTGGATTCTTGCAGGAAATCATAGGGTGAAACGGTTTATAAACGAATTTAACTGCTTTCCTCAATACTCATATACAAAGTTTTCTCACTTCTGTTCTAATATACTTACTATATAAACTTGATTAACATGTATTTACTCATGAGCTCTGTTTTTTCCTTTTCTATTCTTATCCTTTCTTTCCTTTTCTTTTCTTTTCTTTTCTTTTCTTTTCTTTTCTTTTCTTTTCTTTCTTTTCTTTTTGAGACAGGGTCGTGCTATGTATTTCAGGCTGGCCCTTAATTCACTATGTAATTCAGGCTGGCCTCTAATCCTCCAAACTCAGCCTCCTGAATCCTAGGATTATAGGGGGGCACCATCAATCCTGGCTAGCTAATTAGCTTTTAAAAAGCCTTCACATTTGAGAAATTCAAGAAACAAAAGAATTATGATTGGCACTTTCTTCTTTGAAGAGCGAGATTATCTTCTTGCTTGTTGTGTTAGAAATAGGAAATTCTGGTTCTTAACCACAGCAGAAATGATTTTTGTTGGTTTTACTTTTTAGAGTAAAAGTTAAGATCCAGAACAAGTTAACAGTGTCCACTTCAGGGAGTCCTTTTGAGAGTGTCTCATATTTCTCAAAAAGTTCTTTCAAAATTTCAGGAAAGTTAGAATTTACTACTCAGTAGGACTCTTTCCAAGTACACTCTAGGCATGGGCCTTGGTAAGGAAAGAGGAAGCTCTTAGTCCCTACTATGGACTAGATGAGGGACATTAGGCAATTTTGACGGTGGCAGCAACAACCACATACTGGAGCTATTAGCACAGAGCAATCTGTGTCTCAGTACACTGACAGAAACACAGTGCATCATTGGAGAAGGCTATTTAATAAAGAATCTCCATCTCATATTTTGGCAATTCAAAAAATGTTCAGATTCTGTTCATTAGTGTTAGGAGTATCTAGAAAAGGATGGGTTGAAATATTTCTGAGGAGTCATAATTGTAATCCATGGCACTGTAGGAAGATATAATCACTTACAAGTCTCCACCTATACCGGAGAGAACATGAAAGTCCAAGCTTCAATAGACAGACAGAATTAAAATAAGAAAACAAGGCAATAAGATCCCTGCACAAATACACAACTCTGAAGAAGCTAAGCCCACAGCCGAGGAAGTAAGTGAAATTGGAGGTAAAGAGTTTTTTTTTTTTTTAACTGATAATTGAAATGGCCAACAGGATAAATAAAGAGAAAGATAGCAGATGAATGACCTAATATTTAAGTTGACATATGAGCTCATAAAGATATTGAAAGCAATTGAATTAATTATAGGAAATAATGTAGAGTCTCAAAGATTATTCCAGTAAGTAAGAAAAGTTCTGAAAAAGAACCAGGTAGAAATCCTAAAGGTGAAAGCATCAATAAATTAAATTTAAAAACTCCACTGAAAATTTGGGAAGGACACAAGTCAATCACAAGAGAGAATATTTGGTGCCAAAAAAGGGGGAGAAGTACTAGAATACATAGTCAGGATGGGAAAAGTAGAGTAATAAATGACACTGATCCAACCACAGAAGAATTTTAACATAAAACTGAAAGAATGAACTTAATTCTATCGGCCAAATAGAGGGTGTTGAAATAAAGGACAATGAATTAAAAATATCCAATGAAATTACAGCAGAATATTTCCTAAAATTTGGAAATGGGACAAGTGTCCAAGTGAAGAAGGCGTTTAGAACTACACATAGACGCAATCAGAAAAGAAACTCCTCATAACACAAGACAGTCAACATGCCAGCATCTCAGAACAAAGACAAAAATGTTTTAAGCTGTTAGGAGACTGCTAAGTCACATGTATGGCCAAGTCTATGAGAATACAGCAGATTCATTATAACAGAATGTAAGGGCCAGAAGGAATTAAAATGAAAATATTGAAGACTTGAAAGAAACTAATTGCTACCCAGATTAATTTATCCTAAGAAGAATCTTTGAAAATCAAAGGTAAAATAAAGACCCTTAATGATAAAAATACACTAAATAGATACATCTCTGCCACACTAGCATTGCTGGAAATGTGTAAAGAATCCATAATACTAAAATATAAACATGATAACTTTTGATAGACAATGGGAAAATAGCTCAATGAAAGAAAAGGTGAGAGAATAAACAATAAAAAGGAATCAAATATAAGAAAAACAAGGAAGTGACAAGAAGATTTACATAACTTTTAATAATAACATTCCCTGGTCATAATTGTAACTCTTTAATTAAAGGACAGATTGGAAAACTAGATACATGCACAAGGTCTAGTCCAGTAGAAGAAACAATAATATAAAGAATATAGAAATTAATGAAATTGAGCCCTTAAAAGAGCAGAAAGAATCTGCAAATCCAAGATTTGTTTCTTTGAAATGTAAAGAAAGTTGATAAACCATTAGTAAAAGTTACTAAAATAATGAAAAGGCTCAAAATAAGAAAAATTTTTAAAAAACCTTGAAATTAGATCAGCCACCAGTGAAATCCAGAGGAATATCAGAAGTTGCTTTCAAAATTTGTGCTTTAAGAGTTTGGAGAATCTAAAAGGAAAGGTTAAATTTGTAAACACATGTGAAGTACCAAAGTTGCGCCAAGAGTATACTCAATATTTAAGCATTTCAATAACAAGTGATGAGCTCGTAATAGTGTTAAACAATTTCAGTTAGCAAAAGCTTATGATCAGTCGAATTTGTAGCTTAATAATACCAGAATTTCAGCGATTAAGTAATACTAATGCCTCCTCCCAATTTTTCCATATAGTAGAAAGTGTATGTTTCAGCTCACATTCATTCTAGGACAGCAGTAGTACTCTAATACCCAAACAATGTCTTCATGAAAAAGGTACAGACCAAGATCCTTCATGAACATAAATGCAAGACTACTCAGGTGCTCACTGACAGAATTCAATAGCAAATTAGATCAATTATCCATCAAGATCAATTCATTTTCTCAGGAGTCCAAGAATAGTTCAATAGCAAAGGACATTTTTCAGTTGGAAAATGAAGTCAAATTATTCTCTTTTTTTGCAGGGAATATGATTCTTCACATTTTGGGCACCTACAGTGCACAAAAATACTCCACAATGGGTCTTTTAGTTCTGACACATAAGTTGAGTGAAGCAGTTAGATGTAAATCCAATACATAAAAACAAATTGGTGCTTCTGTTCATCAGTGTTGACACACCTGAGAAGGAAATCAGAAAAATATTTCTTCACTAAAGCTTCAAAATTTAAATACATAGAAATCAGTATAATGAAAGAGGTGAAAGTTTTCTATAGTGAAACTTGACAGTACTTTGAAGAAAGAAATCAAAAATAATAATAGACAATGGAAAAACATCCCTTGTTCTTGGATTGGA